CTTCTCCTGCAGGAGGGACTGGAACCGAGTCTGAGGTGAAAACGGGTCAAGTACAGACAGGTTGACAGGAGCAGCAGCATAAGTTCGGAGCTGACTCTTGACTTCGTTTTTATCTGTTTATCCAGCTCAGGGGCTTAAAAAAACAAACCTGGATTTATTTTATTCATCAGCCACATTGAAGCAAATTTTTAATCCTTTCCACTGTCTAATTCTGTCTGTTTTCTCAGGGCTCCACAGTTTCATTATTGATTGTTATTGCCAAATATCCTCCCTCTGTCATTTCATCTCAGTTTGTCTTTGATGAAATGATTATCCTGTTCTTTCTCTCGCTTGGAATAAAAAAATGTGTGAGGAGAACACGCTGCAGCTCTGTGGGAGTGATACTTATCAATGCCCTCATTATTAAGCATCTCATTTTCTTAAAAAGCCAGAAGTAGTAGATTTGAAAAATGAGAGCCAAGTGACTCCCTGGATCGCCCTCCTTACAGTACCAGATGGCATGCTAAATCACATGTGAAACAGGGAAATGAAATGTGAAGCTAATGATATCATTTCTGGCTGCTTCAGAACACAAGCTGGGCCGTGAGGGTTTGATAAGGATTAAATTATTTTTGCTTGGAGTTCTTATTAATATATTCGTTTAGAAAAAAAAACTCTGATTGCACCCAAACAGGAGTAAAAACACAAATTCTTATCGGCTTGTTTTGCACTTGTGCGTGCGCTTAGTTCCTCAAGAAACCGTTCTCAAAAGGTTTAAAAAGTCTCCAATAAAGGGATATCTGACTGTTTCTCAAGAGGAAACTGAGCCTCCTGAGTTTGAGTTTATTTATTTAAACCAGGGACAATACGTATTGATGAACATATACATGTAAATATGCAAGATTATAGCCAACGTCTAATTTCCATCTTTAGTCCCTTCGGCAGGTTGATGTCAACAACATAAGATAATAAAATCAATAAAACTACAGTAACAACAAGTAGAACAGTTAGCCTTCATAGCCAGTATGAGCAGGGGGAGTAAGTACAGAGAGGGAAAACGGGTCTTTGAAAACACAATAGGACAGAAAATGAAAAATGAAAGCAAGAACATTGAAAAGTATAGTGGGTCATGAAACATACAGGCCAAGGGTCAGGGGACCGTATGTATTTCACTAGAGTTAAATGCTAAAATTAGCTATCAAAGGGCTGATTAAAGTGCAGAGTGCTGAAGTGTTAAAGCGTTAGGTGCGTAATTATACTGCAGATTGCCCGATTGCGCAGTAAATGTAAAGTGCTATTTTAAATGCACAATACTCAGAATATAAAGTGCATACCTTGCATGTGGCCCTAATGCCTAAAAAGTAAATAAAGATATAATAAATAGTCAAACTATTAATGGGGGAGAGGGAGTAGTAGTAATAATAATAAAGCAGTGATGTTTATGTATGTACTCTGTAGAAATTGCGGATGGTACCCCAACAATTAGCTAGCATTAAACAAACATACATGTTCAGGCACGGTTGTGGCAACAGTGTTTGGTAAAAGAGGTCAGAGTCCTAAGGCAGGTACCTGTAAATGAGATAGCAGGTGCTTCAGCATCATGATTAAATTATCAGTGTTTTCATAATCACGCTAACACGGTCTTATCCTCATGTAAACTTGCGAGAAAAGATGTGCTGTTTATTCCGGCATCTCTACATTTCATTGCCCCTGTAGTTAATTGCCTCATCACGCTGGCGGGCCCTGCTCATTGTGTCAGATTTATTCTGTAATTATTATCACAGCCCAAACAACAGTGTCTGCAGGTGCATGAAAAAGAGCGTGTTTTTTTTTTCAGAAGGTCATCGTTGAAAAGACCAACTGTTGTACAGAGTTAAGTTTCAAAGTAAATTAATGAAAAGCAGACCAGGAAGGAAAATGGTGGCAGGAAACGGTGCACCGAGGACAAGGTTGACTGACGCTTCAACACAGAGAGGTTCTCAGGGAAGGAAGTGTGACTATCCCAATACCAAGCCACTCATGAGCCGTGTTTTTCTGCACTCCATGGGTCAGCTCTCTCTTATCAAGTTCAGAGTTTAGCTGTCCTCCATCTGTTCTTATCTGCTGTCAAGCAGATGAGACCCACTCTGATTAAAAAAACATATTTTTCTTGTTGCGTACATGTTCAGGACATCATGAGAAAACTAAGTAAGAAATGCATTCAGTTCGCTGTGAACCTCTAGCAGACCCAAACGGCAGGTTCAGATACAGTGAGATTTCCAAGCTCCGCCCCCGGAGCCCCACTCTGCAGGCCAGTCTCGGAGAAATAGAGAGGATGATCGCAGAGCAAACGTGCGTTAGCGGACTGCAATGCTCGTAAGAAAGATAATTATGATATTAACTTTCATCCGAGCTGAAAATGACGTCACAACCGAGTTACCAGCTTAAGTCAGAAGAAAGCAAAATTGGAGGTGGAAACAAGTTGGCTTTATCCACAAAAGTTATTTTAGTGCTTATCTTATATTCGGACAAGGCAAGCGCTAAAATAACTTTCGTAGATGTAGCTATCTTGTTTCCGCCTCCGATTTAGCTTTTTTCTGACCTGATAACTGAAACACTGGGAACTTGGGTGTGCTGTCATTCCCAGCCCGGACATCTGACTTTCGAGGTAACTCAATCGCAGCAGAAGAAAAGCTCTCGAAAATGACAGGTAAATCGATTTTGGCTAAAAACTTCATGATCACAGTTTAAAGACCACTGAGAACACTTTGAGTAGTAAATAAACGATCAGAGTTGGACTTTAAGGAGATGCAGATTCTCTTTCCCAGCAAGACTCAGCACCTGCCGACAGCGCCAAAACTACCACCACATGGTTTGATGACCATGACGTCACTTTGCTCGATTGGCCAACCATCTCACCTGACCTATACCTCATGTATGTGAAGTATCATTGAGAGGAAGATGAGATGCACTCCAGGATATGCAGTTAAGCTGATGTTTGTTAGCACGTCTGGTGGTTGCATCATCATATGACCTCTTATCAAAGATATAAACTGGCAGACAGTCGTTGGATTGTAGATTAAAGTTTGCAACATAAACCTTTAAGCAGTTAAGAAGAGAGTGGCGTAAAGAAAACAGTCGACGGTAACCTTTCATTTTGATATGAGCGGACGTTTTTGTTCAAACTGTCCGATAGAAGACGAAGCTCGTCCTTTCCCCTAATCTCTGAAGTCGTGCGAGTGTGCAGGGCTCCCCGAGGAATCAATTAGAAAAACTAGGAAAGGAGACTTTGATGCTTAGTAGGATGATGTTCATGGGGGATGTGTGAGCATTTCCTGGCTCAGCCTCAGTGGTGTTAAGGTAGAATCAAAAGCTCCACCTGTAAGCCGGCAAATTCCTCTGACTGACAGAACAGCACAGAAAGAAAGTGTGAAGGTCTGGATTTTTTATTTATTTTTTTGTCAGGAAATGTGCTGCTAGCAGGCAATCAAAGAGCGAAGACACGGTGGAAATGATTCTTTAAATTGAGTTTCACATCGTATATGCTCATCTCTGTAGTTTGAAATCTACTTTATCTGCAAATTTAAACCAACAGGTCGCCCGTTGGGAAAGCAAACGTCCCTGTTTTGGATTTGAATCAAGTCCAATGATTTTTCTGATTCAGAAAAATCTAATTTGTGCTGAAAATATTACCTATACCACAGGTCTGCTCCGGGAAGGAATGACAGTGGCTGACAACACGCACTGTGAAATTGATAGCGACAGAAAACCGTACTGGTGCCCAATGGTTTGGCCTCCCTCATGTAAGTCATATTATTAGCCAGTTCAATGGACTGGTTAATGACATAGTGGTCTATTACACTCATGTCTGTAAACAGAGGCACGTGTTGCTGGTGCCAGAAATCTGCCCATCACAAGTTTGCAGGAGTCTCCTGAAAGAGAAGCTTTCCCCTTAAAAAAAAAGAGACTTTTTCAAAGCGCCTTTCTAACTTCATCAAGCCAGGGTGGTTTCTTTGTGGTTTCAAGACTCATTTCAGGCTTGATTATCATAAAAACAATTACCCACTGTACATACATTCTCATGTACAAATGTCCCAGAAGCCCAGGAAGCAACATTCATATCAAAACACAACGTACTGCAATGAAACACTGTGCAAATGAATCCCTGGAGGATTAATTTAAACATCATTTAGGAACCAGGGACTTTTTCTCAGCAGGTTTCATATTTATAGTTTTAAGGATTTTGTAGACGTTCTCGTTATTGTGCTCTAATAGGGTCCACAGTTGCTCATTCACAAGCCCAAGAACAGGCGCAGAGGTAGAAGTCAGTTTAGACTGTAGACCGTGGAGCAGTCTCCCACTAACCCACAATTTCCACCGCATCTGGAACGGCTTTGAAAAGGCTGTATGCGCCGACTGCAGCTGATCGTAACCATTCAAGTTAATGTGTCAGTTTCCACCGGCTTCTTTCCGTTCCGCTGCAGATCGCCAGACTCCGCAGCTGATGGCAAGAGTTCTATTTGTACCGTGCCGCATAAATTCAGCACAGATTAGTCCGTGCTGGAAAGGAAGTCGGGCACAGACACAAAATAAAACATCCGGCTTCTTTTCAAAATAAAACATCCGGCTTCTTTTCAAAATAAAACATCCGGCTTCTTTTCAAAATAAAACATTACGTGTTTCAGGAGGATCCTATTTCATCTATAAGTCTAGAAGTAGATTTCCCCCTCAGGAAGGACACAATCTTCTGCTGTGGGTTCTTGTGAGTTCTTGCGATTCCCGCTGTCCGTAATCTGCCACAAAGTTTGCCTCACAAATGGATCTGGTAGGAATTGGTTGACGGAAAAAATCGCCACCATTCCAGAAGTCAGCGAAGTTGCAGTCAGGAACAAGATGTACAAGAGGTCATGGTGCTCAGGCCTGGTTGAGTCCGGTGCAGTATGAGTGCAGGCCAGCCAGGGACTTTGGACTTGGCGCTGCCCCCTTCAGTGAGTGCGCCCTAATAGATTAGGTCAAAGTAAACGAAAAGGCATGGTAAATAGCAAAGTATTACTGCTCTACTTTGATGGTCATACTGATTATTTTTTTTCCTGCCTACATTGAAAGATCATTTTGGCCTTTCATGTTTAATCAAGAGGACAGCTTAATAGAGACAGGACGACACGCACCGGGAACTTTCAGGGCCAGGAATGGACCTTTGACAAGTCCGTGAGCCAAACCAGCTTTCCTTTTACATCCATTTCTGTTAGATTTCTTCTTTTTCCTCTCCATCCAAAAGTGACAAAAAAGTCCACCACTCAACCTTTTGAAAAAGTACTCTTAGGTAATGTCGTGACATCAGTCATACAAACCAGCACCACTTCAGCCACCTTGGGAAACACTGAATCATATTTACTAAAATTTTAAGTGAACTTAAAAAACAGTTTAAAGACCGGCATGAAAAGGTTGATGTATGAAGTTGGTTAATTTTTTATATGCCTTTTCACGTATACTTTGGTTTTATAGCAGAGCTCCACTCAGTCTGAGGAAAGGGTCAAAATGGAAGAATATCACATTTATTTGCTCGAAAGGGCATTTACACCACGACGTACAAAAAACCTTACAAGTAAGTGGATTTAAAAGCAGAGCTCTCCTAAAGTGACCATCGTGGTCTGAGGCCTCAGTGCATTTTATCGTAAATGTCTCTGTAAAGAGTCTTTTCATGGTGCTTTTTCTTTCTCAGGCGGTTCAAAAATGAGGGGCAGAAAAGAGGGAAAGCAAACCGTTGAGGCTCTTAAAATCAGAGAAACACAAGAAAGAGATTATTTGTTAAATCATATAAAAATCATATAAATCATCTACTCGCTTAATTCGTGCGAATCTAGACGCGTGAATGAATAGTATTTGCTCGCTTCATTTGCGCATCAACGGTAATTTTTACGGCAATCCCTGCCAATTCAACCGGCGGGATCAAGCGATAGACAAAGGTTTTAAATCCGACCTCCTCACTCCTTTATATTCCTGTTTCAGTAATTTAAAGAAAAGGCGTCATTTGCGCTGCCAGAGTAGTCAGAGCGTCTAATCGTGTCTTTACATCCATTTTACATGTAATTCATTCGCGCGAATGATTTTTTACTGGCGCTCGGTCTGTGGAGACACCAAGGGCGTGGGTGTCGACTAAGCAGCTGCTTTTAGATTTGCTGCATGTTATATTCACATTAAAGCTTTTTGGCATTTATGAAACAGGCTGAAGTTCATATTAGTGCCTTTTATCAGTTTGTCCTCCATTTTAGATACCTGTGAACAACCGTCCATTTTAATACTTCATCCAGCAACCTTTGTGCCGAGTAGTTACCCTGACGCAAATATCCGCTTTAGCTGAGACATTTTCAGCTCCCGCCCAATTCACGTCATTTGTGCGGCCAGAGTAGAAGTCTAATCGCGTCTTTGCATTGAATTAACATGTGATTCATTCGCGCGAATGATTTTTTACTCGCGCTCGGTCTGTGGAGACAGTTAGAGCCCTTCCTGGTGTGTACGTGGAACACCAAAATATTCGATGTGGAGCTGTCAGCTTATACAGACTGATATTAGTGTATCCCAGCCTGCCTGAAGTAGCACTCTGCTCATTGTATATCATCTAAATGAATTAAAACATAGTATTTGTGCTTTTCTCTGTCAGACACGCCCTCCTGTAATAACTCAAACATCAGGTTAATAAGTCCATAAACACCGCAGCTGTTTCTCTCTCGGCTGACTCTCCATTAAATCTCCTCACCGCTTCTAGATTTACAGTATATTTTATTGTGGTTTGCTCTCCATTTACAACTTGTAGGGCCACTCTCAAAATTGTATCCTTCACAATGGAGGTGATCCATCACTTCTGTCTCATTTTTTAATCCCAGGTGACTGAAACATCTGTCAGGATGACTGAACGTCGATTGAGCGGTACAGCAGGGAGAGAGGAGGAAGAGGAGGAGGGGTAGGAAATGCAGATCCTTGGGGGAGTGATGGCTTGGAGACGGCCGGAATCTCATCTGGATGATCATGAATATCATTCAACAGCACATCTGTGTGAGTAAGATACAGGACACACAGAAACTTGCTTTAATGTGTTGATAGATGACAGATTTCCCCTCTGATGGATGCTTAGACCTACAACACTGTCATAAAGGTGACATCCAACAACCCTGGCAAAGATAGTGTCATATGTTATCTGCTGATGGTATGTGGTGAATATGAGACCAACAGATGGTCCACCAAGAGACGTGTAATGCATGAAAACAGCCCCCCACGGTGCATTCAGGGGCTCAGGAAAGTCCTCCTCCCTCCATCCTCGACACACAAGGTTATCAGATATTCATGAAGTCTAATTAAACAAGCACTGCCTGTGTTCGGTCCCACAGCACATTTCTTGCTAATGACATATCAAGCTAATTAATTTTGGGTTTATTGGACATTGATTTCAGCTCTCAAGTTCATCGCGTGTCCTCCTCTCTGCTTTGAAAACCGCAGCGATTCCGAGCCTCGTATCTCTGTGATTGATACGGAAGAGTTGTTTGAAAACTTTCTCCCCTCAGCTGACTCTTCCTCTTCTCCTTCACTCGGTGATTTGTTGCATATTTCTGAAATGCAAATTTCCCCTCATCCCCCACGTAGAACCACAGGCCAGGAAACTTCAGAATAACGGTCATAATGGATGACTCTCCTCCTCACGTTGTTAATCTGATGTGAAAGAAGGAAGCTGGCTGACCTTTACAGTATATATGAGACAGAAAGTTGGTGCGCGAGTGGATTTCTCTCTTTCTTTCGTTCTTTCCAGTTTGGTCGTGAAGTGCAGTCCATGTTATTGTCTTTCCAGAACATTGAAGTGAAATTTGTTCTTTATTTTTAAGGCGAGGTTGTTGCACGAGCGCTTGTCAATAATCATGCAGGTCAGCTCCTGCGCAGGGGGCAGACTGGAACAGAGTCTGCAGACAGGATCTTGTTACCACGTAGTTCAGAAACGGACTCTAACACCAGTATAGGTGTGAAAAAAAGTCAGTACTTTGCTTTGTTTTACCACGACTACCTGACTACTTTTCTCCCAACAGTCAGGGTCCAAGATTAACACCTACCAATCACCGGAGCCGCTCCGCTTTCTGTTAGGCCGTTTAAGTTTAAGGGGCTGTGCGCTACATGACCAGTCAATGCTTGCAACAAAGCGGTCACATGGTTAACAACTATTGACCGCAACAATGGCTGCTCAGCCGCAACCATTTTTTTTAGCCTCAAGACTTTGTTTTCAGTTTTCAGTCGAGCTAACAACTGATCAAAAACGGTCAATTTTGGACCCCCTGTGCAGCGCACTGGTTGGCTATTTGGATCTATGGTGTACATATCACTAAGATCTTGTGAAATTTGGTATTTTTGCAGCTCATTTGAATATGAATAGTGGTGTGTCACTATGCAGAAAAAAAAAGGTTTTCCGTTCCCTAAATTGCCTTCTAAAAATTGAAGAAAGTCAGTAGACAACATGCAGTAGATGTTAAACGCAGCAGGGAACTCTATTTGGTGAACTATCCTGACTGCAGTATCCTCTGATTCAGAAAGGTCATGTTTTTGTGGTCCAGGTTTCATCTTACGCACCAACTTCAGCACCGACTTAGAATCTCTCCTGCTCCACTGTTGGCACGGAGGTTTCTTTGTCTGTAACAAAGATATATTAAGAAATTCACCTCGATAAATGGATAAATAGACGTAAACTACTCCACAAGCTGCTCACCCGCTCCAACATGAACTTTGTCTACTCCAGCTGCTCCAACTTTTGGGATGATTCAGGTCGATTTAAGCTGTAAACTATATTTAAGCTGTGTTTGTTGCAAAATGAACACTTCAGTAAAAGGGAAACAAATCTGAGATATAATATTTACGTTGATAGTCTTGCTCCGTCTCGGAGTGATGCGTTCAGGGCAGCCTCAGATAAAAGAGTGCTGTATTTCACACACAGATGTTCAGAGAGCCAAGGTGAACTACTCAATACGTGATATCGATTTGAGCCCATATCGCCGAGCCCTAGCCCCAATCACGGTTTCAGGAAATGGAGAAAATTTGAGCTTTTTGGCTTCAGGAGGCGGAGTCATGTTATCCGTATTATAAACAGTCTATGGTTAGAGCTGACTCGACAGGTGCATCCTCAAGTCTATTCCACTAACAGCATAAACTCCTCCAGGGTCTCACATTTCTGATTATCATGTTACCATTATGATCCATTATGTATTAGCAATTAATCAATTATGCAGGCAGTCGGGGATTACGGCGAGGGAGAGTCTGCAGACGCTCCTTGTGTGTTTCTTCAAACACAGGCTGAAATGAGTCCGTGTGACATTTACATTTGTTAGTCTGTCCGGGTCAATTAACTGTATGAAGACAAAGAAGTCATGTGCACCACAGGTGTGCTGGTGGTAATTAGTGACAAATGTAAAAGCCTGCAGCAGAGTTTGTGTTGGAGCAGATGGGCGGCCATGCTTTGGGATTACTGGCTTTTATAGTGCAGAGTTGCAAACCTGATTTATCGCTGCAGCGGCTCTAATGGGCAGTAATTTGTTGTTTGCTTTACTATCTTATGTTTTTTCAGATTCAATTAATGTTACAGTCATATTTTAGGAAAATATGTCAACTCATAAAATGCTACAGGAATAATAAAGCAATTTAATGTTGCCCTGGATGATACACAGCTAATGCATGTGTCAGTGGCCTGAGCAGAGGCTGCGTTAACCCTTTCAGGAGTTTGGTACAAGGCTCCTGCACATCGATTTGAAGTTGTTTTTCTGAGGGCGTGTGTTCTAGATCAACTAAGTTTTTAAAGTCGAGGAAGAATAAGCAACGAAAAGACTCGTTTAAAGGTTTCTCTTTAAGTTTACGATGTTAAGAAATACTAGATTTTGAGAACACTTGTCTAGTATGATTGAGTTCAGCTTTAAAGGGTCAGTTTCTAAAGGGGGTTGTGAGTCTGACCTAGGACTGGATGGGGTGGAGTCACGTCTCTGATGTAGGACAGCGTCTTAAAGGGACATGAGACTATAACCTACCTACACACATCCGAAACCAACTTTTATTTATTTTATTTATTTATTTTTTTGACACCGAATATATTGACATGGACAAAATCATGTCCGTTATTGTCGTCAATTTCGGTATTGGTAAATTTTCGGTAAACCCCACAGCTGATCTACCCACAAAGAAAATATGACGTTCTCTTCTGATACTGAAACTACATTTTGTAAATGACTAATATAAAATAAACAGAGCATATAAGCAGCCATATATAAAGTAGGAAAAGATCACATATCAATATGAAGACATTTACAAGTCCTACATGAAGAATCAGACATAAAGATGTTCTGGACCTTTGTCTGATACGTTTCTCTCAGCAGGTGTCTCTGAATTTGTTTGATGACCCCTGATCTGCAATAAAGCTGTACAGAAATCATTTAATAATCTCAAGGAAGAAAATCAATATTAAGACATTTACAAAACCTCCATGAAGCATCTGCAGAGAAACGATTTCCCTTCTCTTAATATCCTCTGTGAAGCGAAATAACATATTAGATGTTTTTGCCGTCTCAACCGGCCTTGAATCCGATTTTTCAGGTGGTGGAGGTCAAAGGTTTCAAAGACCGCGGCGTCTCGAGGATTCAAACATCGGATGAAATTAAAGACTCTGTTGTTTTGCTTTAAAGTGGTCAGCCTGTAAAAGCCTCATCTCTCTGGACCAGCAATATTACAATCTGAGCCTTATTAACAATCCAAACACTCACCGCCCTCTGTACCTCTTTTTTTCCCCCTATAAAAGTTGTTCAAACCCTCATAAAGGTGCGAGAAACTGCTGCCTGCATGCTGAAGCAGCCTGCCTGGACAGCCACCTGCATCTATTGCTGTCGTCTTTTGCTTAATTAAGATACAGATGTTGGTTAATGAGAGCGGACGCCGCTAATGAGTGATGCTAAATCCAATGGGTCACAGTTGGCGGTGCCACATGTGCTGCTTTTGATCACACTGGCTTGTGTCTCCCTACCTCTGGAATTATGCAGGAATTACACCCAGCCCCGGCTATTTACTAATAATTTATTACTTTATTGTCTGTCTTGTTTCATTTTCCCCCCCGGCTCGCCCTTTTTTTGTCCGATTCTGACACGTTTGTCGGCGGTATGCGGCTTTAAATCACAGTTATTTGCTGTTTAAAGCCATTTGAAATGATCATTCTTCACACGGCTCCTCTGCCGCACGAGCACAGCCGAGCAGCTTCATTCGACAGGATAGAAAAACTCATTTCACCTCTCACACGCGACACCGAAATTAAATGACTTTTCCCTTTTCGCCGCACTTTTTACTCTAACGGTGTATTACTTTTTTATGGAAAACAGTAAAGTTGATGTTAGTGTGACATTAAATTGCCTGTAAATATATGCCTGAGCGCATGCAGCCCAGTGTAAGGTGGATAAATGTGGACTCTTTTTTTTTTGGGATAGCTCGTGTTTGCACACTCGTCTACATTCCTGCCGCTTCCTCTCTGAACTGAACTGGAAGATGGCATCACGATCCAGTGAAGCGCGCGCACACACAAGCAACTCCCACTCTGCCGGGGAGTTCTGGCTAATCCAAGACCTCCATAAAGCATGTGTTGGGCCTTAGCGACACATCTGTCATTCTGACGTCCGCTAGCACGGTCTGGACTGTCGGTTCCTAATCCATCTGTGCTCTGCAGAGACAGTCTGCTGCCAACTGGATCTTTGCTAAGCCTTTGGAGGAGCTGACAGAACGGCGGCGCCTGCCAACTTCCTGAAAGTTTTCATTTATATCTCACCGTTCATACGACTGTTTCCTGTCTGTCTCTGACATAAACACGCACATTTAAGTCAGTGTGCTGCTGACGAGTGTTTTCTCCGATGAATCAGATGCTTGTGTGATCGGCTTTGATGT